TTGTTCGAAACACTGAGCTTAATAAGTATTATATTATGCTTTCTTTTATTTTAAAATCTTCGATGAAAACAAAACAATTTGAATTTTTGAAGACTAACATTGTTCTTAATGTAAATCAGAGTAAACCTATACTTACATGAGATTCCTTGACTGTTTACCAGTCACATCGTTTTGCGAATCTACGATAATTTTTTAATAAGTTCCTTCAGTTAACTAAAACGTTTAAGACGTTTAGTAGAAATTTTCAAATGATTGCGTAATTTTGTTAAACTTCAATGCTAATACCGATCGTACCCTATAAAATAAATTTTCTACTTCTGATCATGAGAACAAATTGTAAAGGTGTGAGAATAATATCTGGCAACTAGCAACAAATATTTCAGGGAGATACTAGTACTACTCGAATTATGTCAGTAGAGTATATAGCATCAATGTCTTATCATTTAATTATCAAATGGACATATCTAATAATAATACTAAAGAATCTAGCGGATTATTCTCATAGTGACATCCAAATAGATATCGTTATTTTACCCCAAAAAAAAAAAAAAAGATATCGTTAGATACATGAAGATTCCATTTTAAAATACATACTCAAAATCTAATTAATATATAACCGTGCTATTTAGTCAAAGATTGCAGAATCAAGAGTAGAAAAGATGATCACATAACCTCATTTTATAATTCAAAGCGAGGAATGGATGTGAACACAGCGACGTGCAACACATTCCCATGATCCCATGCCAATTAGAAAGTGGAAACTCGTAGAACAATCAATTCCCATAGAATTAACAATGCATACCCATTTTTGTTTGGTCAAATTAACAATTGATCGTTCTCTTTTGCGTAGTAAAATTAGTCGGTAACTTTATGCCAAAAAGTTTTTAGTTAAAAAGGAAGAAGAGGCTTTATGGCCCAAAAGAATACCAACAACCATAAAGTAAACAATTTAAAAAAAATCAAACCGATTAATGATACATAATTATTGGACTATTTTCATAGTCTTGACCTTTCTCAAACGATTTGTTATAGTTCTTGATCAAGGGACTTAACTTTTTTTATGTTGTTAGATTTGGTTCACTCCAAGAGATTTTATGGATCAGTTTTTCATCGTATAGCTAATAGCTTTGCCTTGAGCAGAAGCTTGAAGGGTTTTTTTTTTTTTTTGCGTTTTTGAAGAAGTATGTTTAAAACAAATCCAAAAATCATCTTTTAATCCAAAACGGTGACGGAAAGTATTAAGAGTCATATATAGTATGGTCTATTCATGATTAAGGGCCGATGACCAGACAAAAGTGATTAAGGGCCCATAAGAAATTGCATGTGACAAAGTAGAATGGAGGGTAATTCTCAAAGAATTTGCCTCCTCCGGTCAAAAGAAAAACAAGAGATGATGAAAATGGGAGGAATTGTTGGAATTCATAGGCGATTTATAACTATTTATAAATATTGATTTAGAATTCAATTTCCAGGATTCGTGTAAATACTAAATTAGATATAGATTCTATGATGTCGAATATACTTGGATATTTGGCAGCGGAAAGATGAACTGAATTAAATCAAGTTTATGTAGCACTCCAAACGTTGTGCCTCTATCGGTATCCACACGCACACAAACTAGATCAAACGGGATGCTAGTGCCGTAGAAATCTAAATCTCTTATTATGAAAGACAAACTGTTTTGTATTCTTTAGTAGGGTTTATAAGCGGTGACTTCTGATGATTATCATCACATCTCGTCACCTTAATATATAGTACAAGCACCATTTAATGGGCTAAGCCCAAATGAGACAGCTTTTACGTGGAGAGGAAGATGTAATCATAATTACCAATTTCCTTTTACTTCACGTGCACTCATATATTACCAATTTCCTTAATC